GCCTGCAGCGCTGGCCCACGCACGGACACCCACTCGGCCACGGTGTGCGATGCACAGATGCAGGGGCCGGAGGTAATGTCACACACAGTCACACACTGCCACACACACGGGGTCGTATACAGCGTCACAAACATTATCCACATCCACACACACAAGTCACCTCCTCGTTTGGGGTCACACAGGGTCAAATATTCAAACTGTCTCACGCAGTAACAAGCTCACACTAGTTCCCACACTCAAGCTGTGCCCGACAGCATCACACAATGTAAAACACTCAAATAGTGCCACCACCATTCACACGGAGTCATACATGAGCACACATGTGTCACACACTGTCGCACACTTCCATGGGGTCACAAAGTGTCATATACTCACACATCACCACGGCTTCACCATCACACAGTGTCACACTTTTATACACAATCTTATTACACCAGTTACACATTCACATGGGGGTCATACGTCCTGCACTGTCACACTCATACATCACAGAGTTACAGGTCATAAATAGCATCACAACTACAGTAACACCTACAGCCACACTCAAATGGTGTTATAGTGTTACACACCTTTCATGGCACATGCAGTGTCACACACTGTCACAATCCAACAGTGACACGCGCCCATGTAATGCATCTCACATGTCCCACACTCACACCATATCCCCCAGCGTCATCGATGCTTACAGCGTCACAGATTGACACACTGTCATCCAGTGTCACCACAAGGTAACACAAGGACAGCATCAATGCCTGCCACACGTGGTGTCACACACAATCTTACACTGTAATACAGTGTTACACACAGAGGGTGGCACATGGTGTCATCCACAACCATGCTCTCCCTTAGTTATTCACAGAGTCACACAGGGTCACATGGGCACACAGATACGCAGTTACACCATGTTGCACTCACACACCTACACTATTCTCCCTCACATTCTCCACTGATAGCCTCGAGGAGACCCTGGGACGTAGTGTAAGTCTGGGATCAGCCTCCTGGCCCTGACAGAGGGGGCGTGAGCCAAGAGAGAGCGGTGGGCATGGCCCACTCTCGCCCCGCCCCTCCCTGGGAGGTTAGAGCTCGGAGGCGGGGCATTGGGGCCACCTTCTTAGAAGGCCGGATACGGCCACGCCTCCCAGCCTAAGTGGCAGGCGGAGAGGGCAGTGCTGGACCGCTGGAGAAGGAGGGGAGCGGACTCGCGTCCCGCCCACCCCGTTCTTAGCTAGAGGCGGGGCCTTTGGCCCCGCCCCCGGCCTAAACCTGAGACCGGAGGCGGGCTGAGGCGTGTCCCTGTGAGCGGCCCCGCCTCGTCTCTCCCGCTCCGGAAGGACAGAGTGGGTGGCCTAGCAGCCAGTAGGTTCCCGCGCGTCCTGCGACTCCGCGGCCTCGCACCCCGACGACCCCGCAGCATGACCGTCAAGAAGATTGCCATCTTCGGCGCCACCGGCAAGACCGGGCTCACCACCCTGGCGCAGGCGGTGCAAGCAGGCATGAGCTGGGGCGGGCAGGGGATGTCACATGGTGTACGGCCAGAACTTTAGGAAGGGGCATCATGGGGCCGGGCGGGGGTTGATTGGGGCCTTCAGTGCCTTGGCGTGTGAGGACCTAGGGGACAAAGCAGATGGCCACAGGAGCACAAATGGAGGATACTATGAGATCCAATTTTATATAAGTCCAAGGAACAGGAATTGGCCTTGGCCCTGGCCCTGGGAGGCTGGGGGACTTCAGGGACAGGTTTAAATCCAGTGCTCTCATGAAATGTAGTTGTTATTGTGGTGGTGATGGTGGCGGTGGTGCTGGCAGTGGTGGTGGTTGTTTGCACACCCAGCAAGGGCTTAACTAAGCAGGGCACTGGGCTTGCCTCCCAGCTCTGCCCTCTCTTCTCATGTGTTTAGTTGAATCCTCAAAGCACTCAAGAGGGGTGGGAACTAGTATCACCTCACTTGACAGATGAGAAGACTGAAGCCCGCTGAGTGACTTGCCCAAAGATACACAGCTGGAAAGTGGCAGTGCTAAGAGTTTGTACCCAGCACATGCTCTTAATCACCAGAAGTCCACTGACTCTTGGTTTGGGCACCTGAGCTTAAAGCTGAAAAGGCTGGGGGGTGGGCTGCTGTGAACACCTAATGGAAAGAAGAAGAT